ACAACGCGAATCAGCCGGTGAGATTGACCTACCAATCTCTTCCTGATGTACTTCCATACGAAATGAACGTATTGTCATCACTCTTATCTCAGGAGATTCATATTTCTCTGAAAAAATATAATATCCGTATTAAAGTTGTGCGATGCCCTCTTATGCATAATCTATTATGATTGATTTGGTTTTCCAAAAAATACTATTTTTGTAAAGACCCATTGGATAGAATTTTATATGCTATTATTTCTCGTTTTAAAATCTTACATGAACTACCCATTTACTTTTGTTTCTAGGACTCGATAGTGGTGATTTTCAGTAACGCTGATGTTTTTAAAATTTTTTATATGTTTTCCCTCAGGGTTCTGCGCACCGATTTACTGTAAGCCTTCTCCTCGCCGAGCTCGGTCGTTCACTCAGTGGAGCTGGTCAATGCGGCGCTGGTAGCTGTGGTGGAGGCGAATTCGGGCCTGATGACTGGGATTCAACCGGTGGTTATCCTGGGGGCGGCAGCGGAGTCGCTGCCGGTTCTGGAATTCCGATTGTCGGTGGTACTCCTGGAGCTGGGGCTAGAGGTGCTGGTTCCACAGGACATGTTGTAACGGCTGCAGGAAACTCATTTGGCGCATGGAGCGGCGCCGCTAGAAGTGGCGGCTTGGCTGGTGATAGTCGAGAACTGATTTCTCTTTGCGCTGGATTCGCTCTGGGTCTTGTTCTGCTGCAGGTGATTGTCATTTTCGGGACAAAACAATAATTATATAAATTGTGTCGCATCCTATCTCTGGCTAGTTTACAGTCAATCAATCGGCAGTCCCATTATAAATGTGGTCTGAGAGATCTGGCTGAGCTTGAAAGTGTCATCTGCCCATTGGCTCGCATGCATCTTCGGCTATTTGGCGAAGTATCTATCCATTATAACATGTAGATCTTCCTTATTTACCTTTCTAATCTCTTAATCTATAGTATGAGATGTATTCATTCTATTTCGTTTATGTTGATAAGAGGACTAGTAGTTACATTTTTATTCACAATAATAAGAGTTGACATGATGTTTCTATCTAATTTGGCATAGCCTTGTTTCCCAAAAATTATTCTCATTCAAGAACTGCAGTTTTGACCTTGCCTAGGTCTTATCAACACCCCAGCGTTTCTCGAGCCATGATACTGTTTCGTATGATCTTGAGATGTTAGTCACTACGCTTCATTTCCATGAGTGTCCTAATGCCACAGTGGAGATGTAAACTTCAAGGAAGGCTAGGCATTTTTCCATATGTTCTGTGGTGGAATTGTCGATAAAGCAGTTTTATTTGCTAGAGCAATCGACTACATTACCTATTCTTCATTTATAAGTCGGTTTTTGAGACTATTATTGTACCCTGAATAATAGTAATTTTTGGGAAAGCAAAGTTATGTGAAATTCAATGAAAATGTCATGTCTATTTATACAGTTTTGGGAAGATTCAATAACGAGTTTTAAAATCACCCTAAACGAAATAGGATGAGTACATTTCATATATATGATCTTCTGGTAGTCTCGAAAGACACCTATAAATTAATAACTTTATTGATGGTGTGAAGACCAAGATGGTGTGGCCTTTTATATGGTCGCGGTCTCCTTTCGTTGTATAGTAGTTGTTTGACCTTGTTTTCGCAATTTGGTCTTATTAGCAGGAACACCTAGAGGAACGAACCTAGTTCCCGGTCCATAGTATGCATACTAATTTTCAAAGTCGGTCAGTGGACTTGGTACATTCCCAAACATTTCACCGGCATCATAGTCGGCATCTTTAGTGAACCTTGCCATGCTAAACAGTTGTGGTATCTCTTTTGTACTGGGCTATTCACCTATTCTATACACTCGTACCACTTCCTTACTATCACAATTTCTTAATTGCTTATTTAAATGTGGTATGATGTGCTCTTTTGAGCAGATTTCATGAGACCTCTTCACACTCCACGCTAGCTTTCTAACCCAATCCTCTATCCTTGTGCCGGGAACGTTGAACTAGGTCTGTCATATTATTCCGCAATCCTCTTCCCATAGGTCTAATCAGAGTCTCTCTCTTATCTCGTAGGACCCGTCTCCTATCTTTTTGATTCAGGTGTTACACTTGACCCCAATTTGTGCTAATCGAGGCTTTATTTCCCACATTACCTCAAGGCTTTGATAGCACATATACTCCCGCTTCGCTGAGTAGGCCGACAAAGTCTGGATTCTTAAACTCGATGGGAGACTAACTTGAGGCTATAGATTCCGAGTAATTTTCATCATCAAGCCTTTGCTCCATGGACCACATCTATGATCAAACATCTCTACTGTTATCCGACCAGCTCTAGTCTCCGCCGCATCTATCGTGCTTCTATCCAAAAGGCTAAGTCTATGACTTCCTATGCCCTAGTCTCTTGTGTGCCAACCCACAAATGTTGTGATTCTACTTGTTTTGATTAGGCTCACTGTAGATCTCCCCTCTTGGTTCCCGAATGTTCCCTTCTTGTCGCCTTGTGATTTCTTTTCCGAAAATATAGATATTATCTTCATCCAATCTTCTTTTTACAGATGCAAAGTTTTCACAGATCATGCTTTCTTCAAATCTCTTCTTCATTA